GTCAGGGTCTCCTCCCCTCTATTCCCCAGCCGTTTTAAAAAAACTCCTAAATCCTTCCCTGTGTCTACACTGGGCATTCTCTTCTCCTTTCTCAGTTCTCATTGGAAGAATTTATCAGAGAGAAGAAAGATCTTGAGGGAGCCATTAGCAGAACTTAGGCGACTCAGATGAATGCTGGGGCTCAAGTTTCACTTCTCCACTTCCACTGTGTGACCTAGGCACATGCTTTAACCTCACTGCCTCAGTTTCCTGAAGTGTAAAGATAATGATACTCCTATTCCCCCCCCCACCCTAGTAATGGGTATCACACATTCTAGGCAAGTGCTCTACCACTAAGCTCCATCCCTAGCCCTTTGTATTTTGAGACTGGTTCTCTCTAAATTGATGAGGCTGGACTCCAGCTGAGATCCTCCTGCCTCAGTCTTCTGAGTAGCAGAAATTACAGGTACAAGCCACTGCACCTGGCTTCATTTTTTTTACTTTGACCATGTAGGAAGCTCTTAAGAATGCTTTCATTACTTCATTTAAGGCTAGAAATAGCCTTATCATGGAAACTCTTATCATGTCCAATCATGTTCAGTCTGTTATTACTTATCCTAACACTAGTTTTTAACGTAGTGTTCACCTGGACCACTGTTCTTTCCCTGTCTTGTACTATGTATATGCAATGGTTGTGCTCTCCTCCTTCTCCTTCTTCTTCTCCCTGGTTCTGACAATGGTACCCAAAGCTCACACAGCATAGCACTCTACCACTGAGCTATATCATTCCTAGCTCTCTGCTCTTTTTTCATAAATCTATCATATTCGTTCTAAGGTGTGAGCCTCTGACTATCTTACTGTTATCTGGTGTCCTTGTAACAGCCTCTATCTATTAAAAGACTTACTATAATAACTAAAGAACTTTCATATATGATTTTTAAAATTACAATTAGGGTGTCATGTTTATTGTTTAGAAATATGTGTGGGTTGTCGATTTACCTGTGGATTTCATTTCAGAACAGAGAGGACAAAATATTTGTAATAGAAAATGGGTGCCGGGTTTTATAGGGTTTTAAATGATTAAAATTGAACAGCTGATGTGACAGTTTAAAAGAGGCTGCGGGTACCCAAGAAATTTCCTGATGGCACCAGAAATTTGAGAGCAATGTTCAGCAGAAATAAGTAGACATAATATCTCGCTGGGTTTAACAGAGGCCCTTGCATTATCGATTTTCCTAGTGAGTGTCTGATAAATTTCTCAGCCTGAAAGTAAAAACAGGCCTAGGATCCTTGGTGGCATATTCCAAGCTCCAAGGGAGATGATCACATCTTACATGGGAATATTTCTGCCCTTCAGTCATAGCATTTTAACCCAACTAAGAGGAGAATAGGAAATTCAAAAACCAAGTCACACACACACAGCAGGTGAAAAGTCTCCTGGGATCTTTTTGATCCCTTTCAAAGTCCCAAGTTTGTAGCCCGTTGCGGTGGCACACACCTGTAATCCTAGCAACTCAGGAGGCTGAGGCAGAAGAATCGTAAGTCTGAGGCTGGCCTCAGCAACTTAGTGAGACCACGCCTCAAGATAAAAAAAAAAAAAAAACAAGGGCTGGGAGTGTGGCTTAGTGGTAAAGCATCCCATGAATTTCATCTCTAGTACCAAAAATAAACAATGAAACAAAGTTCCCAATTGGTATTGAGAGCATGCTCTTGGGACCTTTCAGGTGAGAGTGTGGCAGATAGGTTGCCAGACCCAGAAACTGGAGGAGGCCTTAAAGGAGCACAAGTCCTCTGTGTCCTGCATCCGGGTGAAGAAGAACAACGAGGAGTGTGTCACTGCCAGCAACGATGGGACTTGCATCATTTGGGACCTCGTGTAGGTACCTGGGTTGGGGAGGATGGCAAGACCCATGCAAAACCCAATCACGTCCGTATTTTACTGAGCCATGAGCAGAGACTCCAAAGGAGGGTGGATTTAACACTAAAGGGAGGTTCCGCAGAAGCCCTTGGCCTCCATGGGCTGTCCGTGTTTTAGAGGTGCTGATGGGAAGACATGAATATCAGGAGTTTCTGTACAGACACAGAAGTAGCCAAGCATGATTTAACTTGCACTTCATTCAACTTTAAATGTTCCAAAGAAGGGGCTGGGGTTGTGGCTCAGTGGTAGAACACTTGCCTTGCATGTGTGAGACACTGGGTTTAATTCTCAGTACCACATATACATAAGTGAATAAAATAAAGATCTGTCAACAACTAAGAAAAACAAATTTTTAAAAATGTTCCAAAGAAAAGGCACAAGGGAAATAAGTAATGCAAGCAGTTCCTCCCAACATTCTGCTCAGTCATGTGAAGTCCTGGATGAGCTTGCCATGGGAGGGAAATACAGGAGAGGCATGAATTTGTCCTTCCCCTTGGTTGGCCACATTCCCAGAGAACTCTCATACTATGAGCATATCACATCTCCATGGAATGTGATAACTCCAAACTAACCAGGCCAAGGCATGTGAACAGGAGTTAAGTCAAGAATTTTCAAAGGTGATTTTTAACTTTCTTTCTTTCTTTCTTTTTTTTTTTTTTTTTGGTACTGGGTATTGAACCAGGGTGCTTTACCACTGAGATGCATCTCTCTCCTTTCTTCCTTCCTTCCTTCCTTCCTTCCTTCCTTCCTTCCTTCCTTCCTTCCTT